GAAAGAGGAGGCAAAGAGAATACTTCATAATGCAGCCCTCTACATCTGCATGAGCAAACAAATCTCTCCAGTTCTCTCACCATGCAGGATGTTCTTTTCTGTCAATCACCAATGCAGGATGCTCTTTTCTGCTGATGTGGAGCACCCCAAGCCTGGTAATTACCTAAACCTTCTGTTCTGATATGGAGGAACTTGTGAACAACCTTGAAGCAACTCAGGGCTGATAGCTGCCTGGGTTTTCTGTTTCCCCACGAGCTAGCTGCCCCTCCCCTGAATTGTTGAGTGGCCAGAGGCCTTGAGCAGGTTGGATTCCCTGCTTCTCTGCCAGCTCTGTATTAGGGCAGACACTGAGCTCCTTCTCTGATAGGACATTCTAAGTGTGCTGAAACTGCCCCTCCCCAAATCACCCATAAAAGACTGTCCAACTCTCAGCCAGGCCTGGAGATTCATAATGTAAACTTCTCCGTGCCCACTGACATAATAAGGAGTTCTCCTTTTTCTCCTGAGTGCTGTTTTTCACTTCTCAGCTTCGGTTTTCCCACAACACAGTTTTTCAGACAGTAGTTATTCAGCCAAGGCTCAACTGGTAGGAAAGTCAGTAGCAACTAAACTGTAGTCCTGGAAGCTGTATAACTGAACACAAATTGGATCCTTGAGTCAGCTTCAAAGCACACCAGGTGAGTGCACATGTGCCTAGGATACTGGCAAGTTGGAGGAACAGAGTAGAGGAATCATGGCTTAATGAGAACCAATTAAAGGTGCTTCTCTCTCCCCCTCTCCCTCCCTCCCTCTTTCTCTCTCTCTCTCTCTCTCTCTCTCTCTCTCTCCAGTAATTGTACACACCCTCCCTCTCTCTTTCTCTTTCTCATACATACATGTACACTCTCATGAGTAAAATGGTTAAACGTTTTTTAATTTCTCACTTAATAAACATATTGCTCTCTATTGCGGGTCTGGGCAGTGTGATGTTACTATGACATAAGAATAACTACAAGAAATGAAAAAGAAAAAGGTGGGACCAGCAGGTTGTGTAGTGGTTGAGGTGCTGGGCTCATATATATCTAACTATGGTTTGTGGCCCATACCTGACAAGTTGCTTTCCCTCTCACTCTGTGACACAATAAAAAAAAAAAAAAATTAAAAAGTTAATTTAATTAAATAAATGATTCTTTTTAAAAAAAAAAAAAAGAAGATAAAATTATTATTACAGGTTAGGGCAGAATTACAGGGGTCCTTGTTTGCCTATTTGAATTTTTTAAGTTTTCAAAGAGTAAATGCACTCACCAGAGAGAAGGAGAAAGAAAGCACTCCATACTGGGGCGTGGTCACACCACAAACCCTTCTCCTCCATTTTTCTAGCCCATTAGGATCTGAGGTATGTGTGCACACATGCCCAGCATGTTTTTCAAACTGCTGGGGGGCCAGGATTTCAACCACCATTGGCCATATGGTATCAAATTAACTCATAAGTCTTTGAGGTCAAACGTCTTCCACCACTGGTGATAGAGGGACAACTAATGCTAAAAGACCTGTGCCTCCATCATTGATGAAGAAACCTTAGAGCCAAACTCTCAGATACAACTACTAAAAAGAAACTAATGCCCTGCTCTGGCTTTTCTTAGACCTGGAAAGTATGTCCTGGAAGCCATCTGCTCAGAGTCTCAGGCTCCACTGTCAAATGAGAAAAATGGTCTAAAAAAACACCTTTATGTACCGAGTTGACCATGAGTTAGCCAGAGTTGTCCATTGCCTGATTTAAATAGTATTAAGATTTCCTCTATTAAAACTCTACTCAATTAAAAAAAAAAAAAAAAAAACCAACAACAACAAAAAAAAGCCTGAGGTCTCCTAACACCTCTAGATTTAATTCCAGCTGTTAAAACACAGTCCTCTATGCCTGAGGTCTCCTAACACCTCTAGCCCATCTCTTCTTCCTGGAAAATCAGAGGCAGTTCCAAAGCCCATAGCTGACACTACTCAGTACAGGCCCAGTGGAGCAAGTAAATAGCTTCCTGCACCACAGCCACCACTCCCGGTTGTTCTGATAGACTTTGCCTTGGACATCTGGTAGGCACTCTGAGTGGGCTTAGAAACTGACTACATCTCACATCATCCTTGAAAAGTTTGGACCCGGAAGAGATAATATTTTTTCTCTACTGGAAAACAAAGTAGAAGGAACCAAGGGTCCCCAGAGAAAGAAAATAGACCCCAGTGGAAGGAAAGGTGTAGCACAGAGAAGTCTCCTGACACTGTTCTCCCTCCTGAGGTGGTAAATTGATCCTCATTGAGCAGAGGAACAGGTCACTCTCTAGAGACTCTGCTTATATCCTCCATCCTTCACCATCCAGCAAACACTAACAGATCTTCCCCGTATTTCTACTACTTCATTCTTTGGTGGTTATTGTGGAAGATACCCCATCCTCTCCAGGAAGACCAGACACTGTCAGAGAAACTTCAGGTTTGAATTTCCTGTTTGTCCATGAAAGGTGATGATGTATTACTTAGAGGAGAAAATAAACGTCAAAGAGTTAGAAAAATGAGTACCTATAAATAAAACTTCCTGGTACTTTGTTTTAGTTATACATTATATATATTATGTATTATATAGCCAGTAATTCCTAGACACAACGTGTGTCAGGTCCTAAGCAGAGTACTTCCACATATGTCGTCTAATGTAGAACCCTCAACATTTCATCTAAGTGTTTCTATGTCCATTTTACAGTTGAAGAAACTGGGAAGTAGATTATAGAATTGAATCAACGAACTTTCCACAAATGGTAAATTAAGAAATACAAATCCCAGTTTCCTCACTAAAAATCCATTGCTTTTGTACTATGCCTACCACTTCTTATAAATGGAAAGGTTGCTATTTTTAAGAGTTTTGCCAAAATGGCAGAGTTGAGACATTCTCCTGTCCGGATGAAATGAGGAAGAGGGATGTGCTACTGAGATCAGATTCACAATGCTTCCACACTGTTGTGCCTTCTTGGACTAGCTTGAGAAAAAGTAAAATATCAGATAAATTAAATATGCTTCTCTCATCTTGTATATTACAACATGAGATCTGGCTGACATGAACTAGATCTCTCCCAGCCTTTCTGAGACGGAAGAGGAGTGAAAATGTTGGCGATTTTTGTTTGGAGTGCTAATTAGGTCAGTGCAAGTATCTTGCCTACATAAGCGCAGCTTTGGAACCAATCAAACTGAAATGCACATTCCCTTCTGCAGCCTGTTCAGGAGAATCTGCCCACCACTTTGACAGCTCCAGCTTAGTCTAGTGCCAGGTAAACAGCACTGCTACCACCACAGCTTTCTGGTGAATAACAATATGCTTTCATTAAAAATGCCTTTTTCTCCTACCAACTTTTTTTTTTTTTTTGTAGTTTGCTATAGGGCACATACACTCACCAGAGACAGAAAGAGAGGTAAAGTGAAAACTTAGTCCCCAGAGAGGATGTCCATGCTGTAATTCCTTCTCCTCCATTCTCCTCTCAGGATTTTGGGCATCCATGCACATGCATTTGACATGTTTTTCAAGCCACTTGGTCCAGGATTCAAACTGCACAGTTGACTATGTGAGATCCAGCTGCCTTAACCATTATGCCTTGGTTGGACCCCCACTCACTTTTCATTTACTTACACAAAACATAAATAGTAATAGCACACAGAGAATCATTTCATACCCTTCTTGTTTTCTAGATCAGTTTTGTCAAACTCTCAAAATACAAGAATAGCCCTGAAAATGATATGGCTTGGATCCATTGGTTTCCTATATATGTGCAAACTATCCAACTAATGTTTTCATCTGAAAGATAAATATCACTAAAATATCTACTCAAGATGTATAGTCTGGATATAATGTATACTTGTGATATACTTGGAATACGAGTAAGCATTATATAATGAAAAAGTATTTCAAATAATTCCATTTTCTTTCAGATAAAGAAAATGAGGGTTCTAGAGGTTTAAAAACTCCACTAGAGCACTAAGCATCACCACTGAGATACTGAATCTAGACTCTCCATCCCCCCACCTCTCTCCTTCTATATTCAAAGGTATGGGGCTGAGAGCATGGGTGTTCATCAAAGGTATTCTAATTCATTTAGAACTAAGGGAAGGCTTTACACAGATACTCAGCATCTCTGCCTTGTGATGTTCCTAAGCAATTTGTGGGAGATGATCCAAAGTTTTAGCCTAACAGCCACCTATAAATCAACTGCTAATATCATAGTTTGTATAATTGGAATAAAATTGTACTTATAACTGCACTCTAGGCAAATTCACTTGCCTTCTCTGACAAGCACAGATGAGTTTCAACAGTTGATAATTCTGTCCTTTAGCCTGGTTGACTATGGATGGCTAGGATTGCTGTTTTAACTCAAGAGAAACGAAACCCAGCTAATTTCCTCTAGCTGATTTGACTGTTTTACTCATGAATTGATGGATGATAGTATTAAACTAGCGTTGACCATTTAATTTGAAATAAGGACAGTGTCAAAAATTACTTAAATAATTCAAAAAGGCCTTCACATTCACTTTGCATGGCTACGTAATTTGACTCAGTTCTGCCACAAACAGCTGTGATTATTTCTCCCATTCAGAAAGTGGAGAAAGTTTCGTTGTTGTGTATACACATATGCTTTTCCCACACACATATATGTGTGTGTGTATATGTGTGTGTGTGTGTATGTGAGTGTGTGTATATATACACATACATATGTACTTGATTGTCAGAAAAATCATGATGCATTTTGGCATAGAAAAATATGTTATGACTGTTCTAACAACCTAATATATTCGTGTGTGTGAGTGTGTAGGCAGGGAGAGGCTCTTGAACATGAATGCTGTAAACATATTTGAAAAGACTTTACACTTGATAGATCATATATTAGAGCTTATTAATTTCTAGAACCCAGAGTAAAAATATGAATGAGAGAGCAAATTATCAACCAAAGTTGATATTTCAGTTTTAACGTGAAAATGACTATTGATATATACATATTCTTTCTCAAGATGACTTAAATGCAAATCTGAGCCTCCATCTGTCTTTATCCTGTTACTCATTGATTCCTGGTGCTTTTACAGCTCACAGCACATGAAAACCAACACCCCAAGCAACTCCAGCACCATCTCTGGCTTCATCCTCCTGGGTTTCCCTTGCCCCAGGGAGGGACAGATCCTCCTGTTTGTGCTGTTCTCTGTCATCTACCTTCTGACCGTCATGGGCAATGGTTGTATCATCTGTGCTGTGTGCTGGGATCAGAGACTCCACACACCCATGTACATCCTGCTCGCCAACTTCTCCTTCCTGGAGATCTGTTATGTCACCTCCACGGTCCCCAACATGTTGGCCAACTTCCTCTCTAACACCAAGGTCATCTCCTTCTCTGGGTGCTTTCTCCAGTTCTATTTCTTCTTCTCCTTGGGTTCTACAGAGTGCTTTATCCTGGCAGTTATGGCATTTGATCGGTACCTGGCCATCTGTCGGCCTCTACATTACCCCAGCTTTATGACTGGACATCTCTGCAGAATTCTTGTGGGAAGCTGCTGGGCACTTGGTTTTCTCTGGTTCCTGATTCCTATCATTGGCATTTCCCTAATGTCATTCTGTGGAGACAGAATTATTGACCACTTCCTGTGTGACCCAGGTCCTCTGTTGGCCCTCACCTGTTATAGAGCCCCTATAATAGAACTGACAAGCTCTACCTTAAGTTCTCTGCTTTTATTTATTCCCTTTCTCTTTATTATGGGGTCCTATGCTATGGTTTTACGAGCTGTGTTGAAGGTCCCTTCAGCAGCTGGCCGACAAAAGGCTTTTTCTACCTGTGGGTCCCATCTGGCTGTGGTTTCTCTTTTCTATGGCTCAGTGATGGTCATGTATGTGAGCCCAACATCTCAGCATAAAGCTGGAATGCAGAAGATTGTGACTTTGTTTTACTCTGTGGTTACTCCACTCCTTAACCCCGTAATATATAGTCTGAGGAACAAAGACATGAAACATGCAATGAAAAAATTACTAGGAATATAAAATTAAGAGTCTCAATTTTTACTCCAAGGGGCTAGGGGTGCATTCATGATGAGACTTGCCAGGATCAAGTCCAAGTCTCCTGGTGGGCGGAGCAAGCCCAGAGCATTGGAACTCCCCCCCCAACATCCTTCTGATACACACCTGTAATTGTACCATGCCAGACTCTGCTACTTTTCATGCTCTCCAGAACTTCAATGCTCCCAGCTTTTGGCACTTGTTTTTCTGGAGCAACTATCTTTTTCCTCCTCAATTTCACTGGTGGTATCATTACCAGAAGAGCTTGCTGAAACAAGTTCCTTTGATTTAGGCCTCAGATAGCCTCCTGTTCATTCACTCATGACTGATCTCTTTCAACAGATTTTAACTTAAGCTTGAAACATTGCATTTCTTGTAAAATTGGCCTAGGACTATGCAAATCTTCACTATTCTAATCCGAGTCTTCAACTTGTACTTCATTTGCTTAATAGGCCTAAGATTCTTAGGAAGAAGACTGAAATTTATCTGACAGCCAAGAAAGATGACTGTGCCAACCTGGCCATTGGGAAGAAGCAGAAGAGGAGAAGGGATAGGAAGAAGGAGGTCTGTTTAGTTATATAGGGAAATTCTCAAGTGAATCCACCCCATTTAGTGGGTGCTCCCGGGTCTTGGATGTGCTGGGCTCTCTGGATGATTGCCAACTGGAGTGGGTTAGTATGGAGACAGGTAGGCTGTCCTACAATCACAGAAGAACCTTTACTCGCAGAGAGACCCCTGAAGCAGTCAAGCAGAGATCCTCTCAGAAGGGCTTTTGAATAAATAAAGTTGTTCTGAATGGTGCTGTTGTTGAAATGACTGTGGTTGTGCAAAAACTGGATATGTCAGAGGGCTAGGTTGGGAGACAAGGAGTCTGAGATGCACCTGTTGCATCAGGAGTTAAGGGCTACACTGCCAGCCTCGAGGTCCTATATATGTAGCCTCCTACTTACTTTGTGGAAAAATAAAGGCATTTTCACATTAAAAATAAATAAATAAATACTATATGTAAAAGTACTTCTAAAAAAAATCTTGGTTTAAAAGATTTTGATTTTGAGAGAGAGAGAGACTCTGGTTTTAAATTATCTATTAATAAGAACACATACTGATATCACTCAGAAAACTGTTCAGATTTCTTCTGAACTTCACACACTTTTACATACACTTTTATTTCCTAGAATTTGTATGGTTATCTGTGTTGTCAGAAATGTGCTCCAGCTTCTTCACAAAGAAGAGAAAGAAAACTTCTTTATTGAATATGTATTAAACCGGAATACTATGTGTAACACATTAATCTACTAAGGAATTGCAAATACGGAAAGAAATTTCACCCTTGTGACAAGCAGATGGCATAAAGGTTACGTTGCTGGACTCCCATGTCATTGAGCACAGTTTGAGTCCTGGATCCAGCAGCTTAAAACTCACACAAGGCACATGTACGTGCATGCTCAAAATCCCAAGAGGAGAATGGAGGAGAAGGGATTGCAGCATAGCATTGCAGATTTCTCACTTTCCATCTCTCTGTCTCTTTCTGTCTCTCCAACGATTGTGTACTTCCCACAGCAAAAATCTCAAAAAAAAAAAAAAAAAGGAAAGAAACAAATCTCTCCTTTTATAAAGTACAGCAAATAAACTCTGCCATATGCAGGGTTTTATTCACAGAACTGTGCCTCACTTATCTGGAGGAATATTAACCCACCAACATTTAATCCTTTTTACATATAAATCATTTTTTAACTTAAAGAATTAATATAAATGATTTATAGAGATTGATGTCCATGAGGGATATTGGTTCATAGTTTTCTTCCCTTACAATACCTTTGTCTGGTTTCAGTCTTAGAGAAATGCTGGCCTCATAAAATGAGGTAGAAGTATTCCCTTTGCTTCTATCTTCTGAAAGATAGTGAAGAGAATTGGTATAATTTCTTTCTTAAATGTTAGAATCCACTAGTGAACCCATCAGGGCCCACCATGCTCTGTTTCAGAAATGGTCATTGATTTAATTTCTTCTACATATATAATATACATGTATTTATATATACACACAGACTACCTATTTCTTCTTGTGTGGATTTTGGCAGATTGTATCTTTCATTGAGAGTATCAAATTTCTGGGCATATAATTTTTCTAGTGTTCCTTTATTATCCTTTTAATGTCCATGAGATTTAGTGATGTTCTCTCTTTGATTTATAATATTAGTAATTTGTTTCCTCTCTCTCACTGTCTTTTTTAAAATTTGCCAGAGGGCATATGTACTCGCAACAGAGAGAAACACAGAAAGCAATAGAGGGAAAGTAAGAAGCATTCCCTGAGGGAAATGGTCACACTGCAACCTCTTTTCCATCCCTCCCTCCTTTCTGGTTTTTTGGCATGCACACATACATGCCCCATGTATTTTTTAATTCACTGGATCTGCGACTCAAGCTGCACAGCCAGCCATGAGGGACCCAGCTGTCTGAACCCTTACACCACCAGTTGAACTGCCCTCTATCATTTTTTCCTAAGTTATTCTGCCTAGAGTCTCATCAAGTTTACTGATCTTTAAAAGAAACCTAACGGTTTTGTTGATTTTCTGTATTGCTTTTCTTTTTTTTTTTTTGGGGGGGGGAGG